GACTGGTGCGATGGAGGCTTCGGGAAGATATCAATTGACCTTATCATGGAGGCCTGGGACTTTGGGATTGAAGTTGTCTCACGCTAGTAAGTATATCAACTTTTTCATTGCTTTAGTATTAATTCGATTGTGGCGGAAGGCAAAGGTCTTTGTGAGCTTAGTATCCTCGAAGTAGGGATTGGGCTTGAACTGAAATGTATCACATCTTTGCAATCCTCCACTTCTAAGGTTACTTAAATACTTGAAGATCTTCTGGTCTTCATCAGTCAAAAGCTCACTGAGGGCAGGATGACTCTTGAAAGCAGTCAGCCAGTGATCATGAATAGATTTGATGACATTATTTCGCTTATCATATACAGGCTTCCGAACCTCATTGTACTTCTGTTCGACTTTCCAATACCTTTTCACTAGCTTCTCCAATACTGTATAAGGTATCCCACCTGCTTATAAGTGCATATGCATAAATATCAGTACATATAACCTGATTTTAGTGCTAATATCAATATGAAAGTAAAGCTGAATATATGTCAGATATTGAAGCAGAGCTATTTACATATCTTAAAGCCAGACCCGCCCCCCACAATCGAATCGAATTAGTACTAAAGCAACGAAAGAATTAATATACTTACTAGTGCGAGACAACTTCAATTTCAATCCCAATGTCCCAGGCCTCCACGATAAGATCAATGGATACCTTCCCGAAGCCTCCGTCGCACCAGTCGTCACCCCCACGAACTCATTATCTCAGAATACGGGGCGCCGTTCAGCCACCGTACCCCGTGGGCAAGCAGATGTGTAAATTGGGATCATCCACTTCTTCCTCAACCCCTTGGCCTCGTCGTCCTCGCCCTCGGCCTCGCCCCCTGTCTCCCACCACCCCTCCAAAGGAGATAATGTGATGCGAGAACGATGTTGTGGTCTGCTGAGTGCTGAATGAATGAACCCTAAAAATGCCGATTATTGTTGAAAGAAACATAGTTCTTTAATAATAATAATAATAATAATAATAATAATAATAATAATAATAATAATAATAATAAATATATAATAATAGTAATAATAATATTAAATCTATGCCTCGCCTCGGATTAAGAAATGGTTTAATTGTCTTTTTAGAAAAATAAATAAATAATCAAAGTACGTTAAATTTACCAAACTTTTCAATTTCACAAATAAAAGCTATAAAAAAATATAATTAGAATTTTAATTTGAGTTATCTCCATATATATAATTCCCAAATGTACTGAGCCTAAGTGGTAGACTGCATGTTTCGAAATCCTACATGTCAAAATTTCATATTTTGTTATTTGGTTTGGATAGATGTTAATTTAATTCTAATTCAAAACTAATTAGATTTGGATTATCATAAATATGTTGATTTAATTATGATAATTTTAGATGTGTTTATTGTATTTTAATATCATTTCCTATTAGAACTATTAAATTGCAAATTTATTTTAAAAGTTGATAACTTTTGTATTTCTTATCGGTTTTACATATATAATGTTTCAAATTAATCATCTTTTGGTGAATTTCGATTTGACATTCATATTGTATATCTATATAAATATAAAAAGGTTTGGCATTTACCTGAAAAAGTAACTATTTTCCCGCCTATATAATTTGTTTTTACTTTAATTAGTAACTAATTTAAGAATTAGCGGTAATTGATAAATTTGAATTTCAAAAGTCATTAAAATCTGTATGAGATTCATTACCGACTATTTGAGGCAGTGTTATGTTACAAACGGCAAAAAATAAAAGGCAAGGAAATCTAGCATAATATACACTAAAAAAATGGCTAATATCTTCATTTTATATTGTTACAAATGGATAAGGAAATAAATAAATAAGATTCAATTAACAAATCAATAAAATCTGTACATTATAAAACCAATCAGTCAAAAAATGCGGCTAATAAATCTTCATTCTTAGTTGTTACAAGAAATAAATAAAATAAGATTTATCATGAATTATAAAACAATTATAAAAGATTTATATAATCACAATTATAAAACAATATCTCTTCAATGATCTTCAAATTTACTTTGCATGATCTGCAAAATTATATATCATAGACGTTTTATCATGAAAAACTTAATCACGATTAATTGCAACGTGAATTATTACAAAAGAATTTAATTAAATCGTGATTTTGAGATAAATTCTTCAATTATTTACAACAATTGGTTTGCCAATTCTTCAATTATTTACAAAATGTTTAAAAGTTAGATTATACAAATACTTTAATAAATGTGTAACTAAAATTAATTTGTAAAATCAACCATATCCCTAAATGTTAGTAAATCTGAATAAAATTGATGGCCATGTAAAAATAAACAGAATATTGTGTCAAATTGGAACAAATCATTACTACATATTCCATAGAAATTGTAATATTCTATTGAATCAATTTATAATTATTGCCTTTCTTAAGATATTTTCATATCACTCATTTATAGAATTAAACTAAAATATACCTTGGCCTTCTTCTATAAATTCATTGTTCATTGTTTGTTTACCAAGCCTTATGGAAGTATTGAAATAGCATACACTACATCATACATATGTTAAATTTGTCATTGAATTATTTTTATTTGCAATGTTTTAGTGAAAGCTCATTTGACGACCGAGAGGAATGTCACCAAGATAATTGTTGGACAATTTGTTCCTGAAATTCGCGAATTTGTGACGAGGCTGATGAGCTTTACTATTACTAATGAAATTGATAAGATTATTTATATGATTGACATATAATCCATATAATCCATTTTGTACTGTAGGTTTTATGAGGACAACATGGGCAATGTGCAATTGGTATTCAATGGTAGACATGTTGAGAATGACGAAGTTGAAGATCGACCCAAGTTGATTCTATTTATGAAACTAACGAGGTATAATAAATAAAATCCATATGAAATCCGGATTTTGTGTATGTTCAATTAACGCGTGTGTGCAATATGAAAATTCATATTTCATGTGATATAATTGTTTCTATTAAATTGTGTTTATATACCCTTTTTTTTATACATTTTACTTAAATTACGAAATCATTTTTATAATTAAATTACATTTTAATAAAAATATACATATAATTATTTTTCAAAATAAACGATTTTATCTTAGTCTATAATAGAATTGCTTTTAATAAACTTTTACACAAGAAATGTTTAATGTACGTATTAATTATATTTTTTTAGCTAATTTTGTTCTATCAAAACCAATTTTATGATGAAACCTTAAAAGATATTAACTTTTGCAATCATTTGTTTGTTCATGTAGGTCGCAGAAATTACCAATGACACGGTACAATATAATATTTAACTATGTTTAGAGTTCTATTTTATTTAACATTATTGGTGATCATATATGTTTACTCACAAATTGGTATGTATTTTGAATGTTGCTGTTGAGGAGGAAATCCTAGCTTGATTGTGGGCTTATCAACCTTTGTGAGGAATTGAATGAAGGATCGGGCAGTACTGACCCAAAGGGCAAAAGCAAAAGTGGATGAATAAAAAGTATAAGTCTATTTATTAATAGACTATTTTTTAATGTTTTGGTTTCTCATAAGCATATTTATTTTGGGTTGGATAATTCATATTCCTAGAAAATTTTATATATGCTTTCTACAGCTTCGTTGGTTCTTCGTAATTGACTATAATATAAATAAAACGAACGCATATAGTTTTCATTTTATTATTATATTTACTTACTAAGATTTTTTAATAAATGTCTATCTCACGGTTAAAGAATCAACTAAATGTAATTGGTAGACTAATCAAAATATTGTTCAACCCTTAAATTTTGAAGATTAACTAAGTTTCAAAATCAAGACAATTGTGCTTATTATTAATGTGTGCTTCACCATCGGAAATCTATATCTATATAGAAAAAACTATATGTATGTCTTATGAACTAAAGGCTATTTGATTACCACTCTTGACTCATGCAAGCATATTTAATTACAAACTTTTATTTTTAACAGTTGCCAGAAGCTACCAATTTAACTTAACCTTCTCTTTGCAAGATCAGTTCGCAAACATTACTCTTTAATGCTTCAAACAAATTAAAACTTTGATTTATATTCTTTAAGCTACCAAATTCGTATTAATCTATAGAAAGAATAATTGAAAACTTAACATACAACCAAATAATAAATTCTACAAATTCAGAAAAAACTAAGCAATAAAATAAACAAAAAACTTTACGGGTTTTTACCTTACTTGACCTGGTAACGGACACTCGGGATTGTGTTGCGATGGTGTCAAATCTTCTCTTCGAACTCCATCCAGATTCTTCGAATGTTCTTCGGTCCTCGGAATCGGTTGTCGTCTCAATAATATAATATGAAAATGCATAAAAAAAATGATTAGTACCAAAAAAAACTCGATTTTGTAACATATAATCGAACTATTCTAAAAACACAGTAAGCTAACTGACTCGACATTAAATTCAAATCGACAAATCTTATCGCGAAAGCTAAAAATATGATATTACCTTTCTTATCACAATACCTTCGCGTAAACTAGCTGGCTAGATCTTTGTCGATACAAATATGGATGTGTACATCATAGGTCGGTTACGTAAATCGTAGTTTTACAAAAATAGTTTTTGTAAACTACCATGAATGAAATCAAAAGCGACCGATAAAAAAAAAAAAACATCACGAATAAACAGACGATTATATCGTTTTTTAGAAAGC